ATTTCCTCGTTTGTTGGACTGTTTATTCTCCACCTGTGCAAATAAAAAACAAATACTGCCATCTCTTGTGTTTGATCACGGCATGCCATCAACTTCAAAAGTGATCTTAGTTTAAAAAAGGTTGGGCACCCCTGCTATAATTCCTTTGACTCCGCCCTTCTTTCAATGATGTTGGAGGAAGGGCAGAGCAATGACGGCATGTAGGCGCTGTGACACGAGAAAACTGTGTGAGAGTGTAAACACGTCCAGCATGGCAGCCCATCAGCGCCCCTGACAGGATCTCATCACCACGGCGATAAAACGGCTTTTAGCGGAAGAATCAGGGCCTCAGAAAACAAATAACCGCAACAGCAGAACATTTCATCTGCTCCTACTGGACTCTATCACAAAGTATATTATACTGTCATATATATCCCCCATACTCATCATCATCATCATCACTACCAAGATGGACCCAGAACAGAGACTGACCTTGACCTCCAGGCCTCCTACTCCTCTCTGCTGGGATCCAGAGCTCACCAACAGCTGCCTCTCAGACGGAGGGTCCGGGCCCGATGGGGGGGTGTCAGTCTGGTGGGTAGGACTGGAGCAGGACTTATCTGAGGCAGCTGGATTGGGTGGAGCAGTGATGTCAAAGCGAGGTGACAGAGGTGTTCTGGCTCCGCCTGCTTCCTCGGCTCTGCTCGGGTTTCTGCTGCTCTTTGGTTTATGTTCAGGATTGATGTCAGAGCTGAGGGTGATGATGGGGGGGGTGCGAGCAGAGGAAGAGGTCAGCAGCGAGGAAGGATCGTGTCCAAAGAGATGAGAAGTGATCCCTGCTGGATGCTGGTGTCCCAGCAACCTTGGTCTGGACTGGAGGCCTGCTACACTCCCCTCAAGAAGGACCCCTGCAGGGGAGGAAGCTCCGGGCTGCAGGGGTCCCCCAGTGAAGCTCTGAGGGGGGATGGGTCCACCTGCAGCCTCTGGGATCTTATGTGGGAGTTTGGAGGCTGAGGAGGACTGAGGAAAGTCCATTCCAGACTGAGTACTGCGGAACGGTATCTCAGAGACGCTGTCCTCACTGGAGCCTAGTGCCGGTCCAATAGGGACGCGTGTCCCAGGAACACCAGCTGCTGCACATCCAAGCTTGTCCTGATGGTCCATGCTCTGCTGCAGGGCACGCTGGCGCTCCACCTGGGAGGAAACCGACAAAGACGCCATGAAATGACATCAAAGCAAAGATGGCTTTGATGTTTGGTGTCCATTTCTTCTTAGATCAGTCAGAGACTCTGTTCCTCTTTCCAACTAAAAAACAATCAACTTTTAGTGGCAGGGTGAACGTTTAACTGGGGTCGACTCACTAATTGACCATTAACACACCGCACCAATGGCGTCTGATCTAACAAACCCAACCAGCTAAGAGATCGCAAAAAAAGTTAGAAAATAATCCACTGGACTGTGTTTCTAAGTTTGAAGACGTTTTCAATTCAAAATGTCAGAAACAGCGTTAAGTTCCAGGTTTTATAGAGCGGACCGACGAAGCCTTGATTTTGTTTAGAAAACATGCAAATTGAACCCAAACAACGGGTCCATCCCTTTGGGAGTCGATTGGGCTAACAAAGTCCAGTGGATTGTTTTCAAACTTTTTTTGGAATGACTCCAACCTGCATGACTGAGAATCTTTACCATTAAAGAGAATCAAAGGGACAAAAGAAGGAAAAGATAAAGCAGACTTTAAGGTTAGCGGGTCGACACGTGTTTCCGTTGGAAAGAGGCTTATAATGCAAACATGAGATGGTTGAAACATTTAAGGCTGGTTTAGGGACCCAGAATATGCAGAATGTTCAAGCTGCTCAAACAGAAGTGGGCCTGAGAAAAGGCCGAGTGGAACAGTCAGTACGCCCAGTTAACCAGAACCTCCCCCAACCCCCCGTGGTGATGATGAAGATGCTGGTTCACCTCCTGCATCAGCTGAACTCTCTGCCGCTCCTGCTGCTCTCTCAGGCGCTCCCTTCGTTCTCGCTCAAGGAAACCCTCGCTGAACGGGTTGTTGTCATCGAACTTAACCTGCAAGGGAAACAACAGGACTATCGTTGGGCAGGTCACAGGAATAAGACTGGGCAGGTCACTGGACTATCACTGGGCAGGTCACTGGGCTATCATTGGACAGGTCACTGAAGAATCACTCGGCAGGTCAGAGGAGTATCACTGGGCAGGTCACAGGACTATCACTGGGCAGGTCACTGAACTATCGCTGGGCAGGTCACTGGACTATCATTGGACAGGTCACTGAAGAATCACTCGGCAGGTCAGAGGAGTATCACTGGGCAGGTCACAGGACTATCACTGGGC